TTGTAAAGTTCACAGTCTTTATCATCCAAACTGGCTTTTTCTATAACACTGATGTCAAGATTAGCAGGTCCACTGAATCATAGTTTCTGAGATAAAAGTTTGCTAGGCTGAACTTCTTCAGGATAGCTTCAACAGCGGGATTCTTCTCCGAACGGATATGTTTCCACTCGAGGTTCTCTGATAATACCTGAATTTTCGCAACACGATTTCCAACAAAAGTTTTGAGCCGATGAGGCGAAGAATTTATCCATGCTAATGTTACAGTCACATATGAATATAATGTTATCTTTTCATGTCTAAATTTGAAGAAGTCAGAACTCTTTTAACTTAGCAAGTAGAAGAGAAGCTGAGAGCTCCAAACCTGGCAACGACATTGAGACTTTAAAGGGGCTACTTCAGATTTTCTTGCCAGTAACTTTAAACACGAGCTATCTGGGTGAGTTGTAGGTAAACTACGGCTTCATATGCAGATGTTGAAGCACCTATGAAACCTACGACAGTCTTTTTGTCGGTTGTAGAATGCAAAGCATATCTTTCCAGCTTAAGGTTCTTTAAGTTTTTTTAAACTTTGAAACAAAGTGAGTCCGCTAACTATATATTTAGTTGAACCTCCAGCTAATTGCTGTAAATGCGTCACCTCTACAAGACCATCTAGTAGCGCATAATTGGTGGAAAATACACAGTACAAGTACATAAGTACTGGGTGCACTGTAGTTATATTCAATTACAATATTTTTAACAGACTTCCACGCCACCGCATATCACGCATTTTCATTTGCAATGTCATGCTCCACCCAGCAGTTTAGTCAGCGTACCATTGTTTACATACAGTGAACCATTTATAGCAGTGCATGTATGTGGTCATCCGCTCTTTTCTACAAGCAAATTGGCAATTTCTGCAGCAGCTAGATGGTTCCGCAAGCTGCGCAAACAAATCCGTCCTCCTCCGCGTCAGAGGATTCCGGCAGATGAGGTTGGAACGCTACGACGGAAGCATCGATGCAGCTCGATGTGATGGAACCAAAAGAACTGTGACCGTTTCTTTGATGACGTGATGCTATTCTGCTTCTAAAAAATGATGAACTGCATCTTTCATTTCCCTTTCATCCTACTTCCTTTCATTCTGTACATCATATCTCCATGTTTATTATTAAAAGCTATAAAATGCCACTACCTTCTTCGCCTTTAAGCCTAATCTCATCCTACATGTATACATAAGAAAACAAACCTGCAGATTTTAATAAAAACAGAACTTTAATTTACCAAAGGGAATGTTTTGACCGGAACCTAGACATTTGTCTTGTTTGTCTATGCTATAGTTTATAGTCATATGTATGTATGTCTATGCGCACCCCTCCACTCGCATTTCAAAACTTTTAGCAGCATCTGATAGTCAGAAATGGTTTCAGGACTGCGATGAATAATTTTTTACCCCTCTTCTAGAATTTGATACTAAACTGAGTAGTTTCAAACTCAAATTGCATCCAGTTCGAAAGTACGATATGAAAGAATCTGACGAGTCGGACTTTTCTAAATGAAAAAATTTAACAAAATAAAAATGTTTAACTAAATTTTAAATTAAATATTTTATCAAAAAAAATATATACAGTAATAATAGTCAAAGGGAAAAATTCCAATTTATATTTCTTTTCTCTCTGAGAAAATTTCTATTAGTTATACTGCAAGAAATTTCTATTAGTTATATTCTGTAATTCAAACGTATTGAAAGCTAAATTTCAAGTAACTCTAATATGTTTACTTAACAACTTAATAACTTATTTTAACTTAAAAATAAACAAACTAAGAAAATTTTCCAAATAATAAAAATCTTGAGAATATATAATGACAATCTATTCTCAATTTTTTTTATGCATATGGGAAAAAGAAAATTTTTTGTATGCAGAAAATTACAAATTTTTTTCTTTCTCATTACGACACCTCATGGCGTTTCGATTTTGATGAAGTTTGCAACCTTAGAGAAAAATCACTGAAAACTATTTTTAGCATGAATTGTTGATGTCCATCGATCAAACTGATTTTCATTAATTTTTAACTGCGTGAAAAACTCGTCACATATAACGTACTCTCAAACAAAGCGATTATTCTTATTAGAAAAGTTCATAAATATGAGTATTTATCTTTTGACAAGTATGAATAAAATTTAATCAAATCTGCATCTTCAAATCCATAAATAAAATGTATATAATTTTATATAAATTAATTAGCTCCATCTGTAGATTTTATGCGCCGTTACTCATGTTCATTTTTAATGGCAATGAAAATTATGTAATATCAGACTTTAAACCATTAAAATCTTAAATCTTTCCTTTAAATTCTTGTTGCAATAATGGTAATTTATGGGGAATGTATTGTACAAAATTGTTCTGGCAGCTGCATATGGCCTTATAGTTTGAGATCACTGAGCTAATTGATTAAAGTGCTAAGAGAATCAAAACCAACCGGAATTGCACAGAAAATAGAGTAAATCATTTTGGACATTTATCTAATGAAATGCCCTTAAGTATTAGAAATTAAGTCTAATAACAATAAACAGAACATATAATAGAATTTTGATGAAATAAATTTCTTTAGGGGCTCTTTGATATAGGAGACATTTCAAGTTATAGAGACATTGGAACTGGAAAAGCCGGAGAGATGAAAAATGAGCAATCGCCTTCGCCGGGAATCGAACCACGGACGTCTGGAATACCGGCCCAGCATGCAGAACCACTACACCACGAACGCACGTTAGGAAGGCGAGAAAAATACCTTATATACTCCCCCTTTTAAAGGGCGACTGGGGTTTTTTTAGGGGACCCAATCGCCAAATTCTGGGTATACAGAATCATATCCAACACGCTTTTTTAGTTCGGGCGCCACTGTAGAGACATTAGGTAAATTGAAAAAGCCGGAGAGATGAAAAATGAGCAATCGGTTTAACCGGGAATCGAAACACGGATATCTGGAATATCGGTCTAGCGTGCAGAATCACTACACCACGAAGGCACGTTAGGAAGGTGGGAAAAATACTTTATAAAGTTAAAATTTGCAAAGAATGAATGCTTCACATTTTTAATTTAATTATAAAATTTAATTCAATATTAGAAGTATTAAAATACATAAAACAAAAATTTTTTTGTCAGACTGAATATAAACATAAAGTTTGAATCAAATTTTTTTAAATGAATGTTTCTCTGTTTGACTATCTGTGACTTTTTCGTTAATTTAGTGTAAATACTACGAACTAGATTTCAAATAATAACAAGCAATAAATAATAACAAGATAATAACAAGACAAATAACAAGACAAAGATTCTTTTTACAAACTGTTTATTGTCACACAGTTCAGATATCTTTAAAAAATCACTCAACATTTTTCAAGAAATAGTCATAACTTAAGCATTAAATTAAAGAATACAGTTATACACTTTGGTCTTATTTAGAGGTATTTTAAGTTTATATTACACAGGAAAAGATCCACCTTTAAGGTTGCTATATACACATAAAATTTGCAGATGCACATGAAAAATATCCACAAGGAAGACATACTCTGAGAAAAGGCACTGCAGAGGACATAACAATTGTTTTTATACGTAAAAGAATGATACAAGATTTTTAACTCACTGTTACTGCAATCAGCATACAACAACTTCTATAAATTTCATGCACATAATTGTACAGAAATTATTAGAAGCACAAATATAGACCACTGACTGCAAAACGACTAGATTAACTTTAATAGTACACAAGTCTGAAATATAGTTTATTGGAAAAAAAAATTTTAAAAAAAAAAAAAAAAAAAAAAAAAAAATAAGGGCATGCAGAAAAGTTGATTCAAAAACATACAGGAAGAATTCGGATAATCAATTGCCAATATAAAATTCATTTCAAGAATAATTTGATATTTATGCAGACAAAATTCTATATTAGATTTGAAATTCATATAGGAACTAGGTAATGGTTTTACGTAAATGCAGAACTTAAAAAACTGCACTAATTGCCTTTATATATTATATACAAATTTTAATAATTTCAAGCTTAGTGGGATAATTCAAACACTGGAACTTCAGAAATGCCTTATATCAAGTAATTGAACTTCAAAACATTACCTATATTTAATTAATATATAAAATATATGCAAGTATTCATATGAAATGATTTAAAACATTTAAGGAATTACAAAATAAAAATGATAAAATATTGGTATTGACATTTTCTCTCAAGTACTTGAATATGTAAATAATATATGCAGTAAAATGACAAGTGAAATACATTTCATTATCTAAAAAAATTAAGAAAAGAAAAGGAAATTTTCTTGAAGCAACTTCATAAAGGGTAACACTACACAGGCTTTCATTTCATACTAAGTCGCCTTTGCAAATTTCTTTTAGAGGGAAGAGGCTTACAAATTATATTTTTTTGCCCTGTATAATAAATTCTTTTTTAACATTTATTTTAACAAATGCAAAATATCGCAACGATATGCATGCAAATTGAACTTAGTTCAAAATAAAGCAGATTTAATTTGCATTCATATTCAAATTAGCTTTGATACAAAATATTTTTAAATTAAGGGTTTATTACCATTTTAATATTAATTTCAAATAATAAATAATAAAATTTTTTCAAATATTAAAATTCTGCTTTAGATGCTTTCCAATTAATATATTTTTATTATTTTAACAATAGCCAATTATTTTACAATTTTTATGCGTAATAATATAAAGCACTACAAAATTTTAACATTAATGCTTAATACTATTAATATCAAGGTTATTACTATAAATATATTACACCTATTCCGTTTATTATGTTACAGAAAGTAAGATAATATTGACTGAAAAGACTTTTGTATATATATATAAAAAAAACTTTGATGAAATATTTTTTTTCCAATTATGCTAACATACAAATTGCATTATAAAAAATCTTTTAAGTCTATATTAGGTTAATTGTAAGCTACAATTACTTTTAATTAAAAAAAGAACGGGATTAAATGTTACAATTAAAAAAATAAACTTTTTGTATTTTTAAGAACATATTATTTTTTGTTATAACTTTAAGGTGCTCTAAAAAAGTGTAAAATAAGGAAATAATGATACTTAATCTATTTAAAGTTTATTTATGCATAATGTTGTATAAGGTTATTTCAGTCACGATTCTTCTCCTTCAAAACTGAATAAGATCATTATCTCCTGAACTGAGACATTCTTTCATTGGGCCATAATTTAATCTTTAAAAGAAATATAAACATGTATTCTGGAAGACTATCACCTACATTTTCAAACATACAACCAGGAATTAAAATAAAGTAACATTTATATATATATATATAAATATAAATTATATTAGCAACAGTGCTTAAGATAAAAATATTGTTTGCTAAAGTACATAATCATTTTCAACCAATAGTAACATTTTTATTTGCTTTCAATAATATTGTAGACAATAAAATGAAATAAAACAAAAATGATTTATTGCTCTCTTACTGCACATACATATTTACATAACTTCAATATTTTGACAACAGCATACAGCCCATTTTATTGATTTGTTACATTCCTTGTGTTCTGTGTTTAATTATTCCCACTATTAAAGCTTTTATAGAAGCTAGTTTTTCCAGCCCTATAATCTGAATTGCTCTCTATTTATGTACATATCTACAAGAACACTTTACACAAAATACGTAAGATAGCTTCAAACCAATCAATGCTTGAAAAACTTGCATTGCAAAAATTTTAAATGCACTATTTGTAATGAAAATAAATGTCATTACACAACAAAAATTAAATAATACTAAATTAAAAGAATTAAATATAAGATACTTAAAAATTAGAGATAAGTTGCCTTATAGAACTTAAGTAACTTTCACATTGAAAAGGATATTTGTACACTAAAATGTTTTCAATATATCATCTAATCTTACAATAATAAAAATAATTTAACTACAGTAAGAAATTTTCAATACTACATTACTCATTTCTTAAGCATGCTGCCAATCTGTTTTTAGTTAAATAGTTTTACATACATGAAGGAAACACTTACACACACATAATAATTTCACAACCAATATAGGTGCTGTAATTAAATAAATAATTTATTGCAACTTGAATCATTTGGGAAATGTCAAAATATAAGAAATTTTCCAGTCTTATTTTTTCAGCAATTATACACAGAAAAGTAAAAATATGATACAGATTTAAGAGTATTCAGCAATAATTCACAAACTTCTTCTTCTGTAGAACACTATTTATGTTGACGATTATGTGTGAGGAACGAAATATTTCTCAAAATCTCAAATTATATTGAACAAAACTATCCATGGGCAAACAACACTATTAATTTTAAGTGTTGAAAGAATATACACACGGGAAAACTAAGAATGCTTACTGCAAATCAAAATATTGTAATGTAATAATTTTAATTCTTAAAACTGTACAGTTTAGAATTTTACAAAATTTCAGAAGAGATGTTGGATACTTTGCACTTTTAACAGACATAATGAATCAAACCACAAGCTTCATTTAAAAACTTCTAGAAATTATCAGACATAAATTTACTAAATTTACCTTATTGATCTAATTAAAAGGGGATGCTAGGGACAAAAGTATTCAACAGACAAATGAGTTTGAAGAATTAGTTTCTGAGCAGGGATTAGAAATATACAAGAATTTGTTCATTAAGAATTTATTGGTATACATCGTATGTAGTAAATATCTGTTAAAAATTTGGAATATTTATTAATACCTGAGAAGCGTAAAACACAAAAATAAAGTTCCACAGCAACAGCTTTTCGGAATTACAGCACTTGTGTTCAACACACCGGAATGTTTCCTACATGGAGATAATTAACTTTTAAGGAATACTGAATGCTGGAAAATAAGTGTTGCTGTTACCAATGAACTAAATCTTATCATTAAACTGCATCTTAAGACATGGAGTCAGAAATTATCCATCTACTATAGAATAAGAAGATTCTTCTATGTTCTCATTTTACAATCACTCATCTAATCATTACCTAAAAAAATATCTTCCTCAAAGCAACATTTAAAAATATTTAGCAAATAAAATATATCAGAGTAACTTTGTATAAAAAATTATATTTACTATGCACAATATTCATGTCTAGATGAAGACTTATACACACATTAAAAAAATTGCAAGAAACAGCTGCCACAAATTCAGGTGAAGAATTTAACAAAATATACTTGTCTCAGTTTTGGCATGCACATATCTAATAAAAGGGAACTTTTACGTATTTTACTTTTATACATTAAATGAGTTAACAAAGGGTACACAGGAAAATTGATTTAAAGCTCTAAAAAAAAAAAAAAAAAAAAAAAAAAAAAAACGTATTAAATAAGCCTAAAAGATTTAGAGGATGACAAGAAATGAGAACTAAATTCAATTTATACAAAATAATAATAAAGGAAAGGATGGGATTTTAGATGAGTAGTCATTAAGTGTCCAGCAAAACTGATTGGTATCAGAAACACCATCTGAACTCTCATTAAACTGGTCTTTCTGAATATACTTCTTTTTATTTCAATTTGAAAAATCAAATAGCAACAAAAACAATTTTTACAACCTATTCAAAACTTAAAGTTCTTCAAAGAACTTTAAGTGTACATGTGTACATTTATTGCTAATAAACAAGAACAAGCCATAGTATTTAATTACACATTTTGCTTTTCAAACACAAAGAACAATTCCTTATAACTTGTGCTATATGAGTAATCCTACAGCACATCCAGAGTTCTTGAAGCTCATACACATTTCAGTTTCATAACATCCTAAAGTTGAGTGATTTATATAATGCCAGAAGAACATTTTGCACAGCCAGCCAGGGTGCAATGACATCTTTGTTCTGACATTGTTTTCATGGACTAGCTACTTTGAATTTTCAAAAATCACTCAATAACTTGGAGCAAAGCAAACGAAGAGTTAAATTTTCACTTTGCACTTCAAGAAAACATTCTTAATAGTTTGCAGCTAGCTAATTTCAGCAGTCTTAGTTGCCTAAATTATCAATAAACTAAGTTATATAAGCTACAGTCACAGTGAAGTCCTTGCTCTGCTAGTGGGAGAATGAACTGTGGCATCTACAACTCTGTGTTTCTCTCCATGCCCAGATTCAGGATCCTGCAAATAGTTGCATAATTTAATGAGCAGAAAACTTTATAAACATATAGCATTATGCATTCTATGAGCTCTCAAATTCAATATTTTTTTTTTTTTTTTTGAATTTTCTAAATTTTTAAAGACGGGTGGAAAATATCTTTGATCATTTCTTGTTAGAAGTGTGAATAATAGTTTTTGTTGGGGGTGGGGGAATGCTTATAACTCTGACATTTAGAACAAAACAGTGTAATTGGAATATTTTTACATATATGTAATTGGAATATATTATATACAGTGGATGGACAAAAATATGGAAACATCTTGTGAAATGCATGTTTGAAAAGAAAGATTGATTTTAATGAAATATGTAGGTGGCGCTGGCATTTTTGACTACTGACGCCACCTATACAACTTCGTAAATGTGCTAAACAGTTCAGCTGTTGTCGGAGTACTGTTATGTGAGGTTGTCATTGCATTATGTCAGAGTTAACAGACTTCGAACGTGGGAAAATTGTTGGAGCACGTATGGTAGGTCCTTCCGTAAGCAAGGTAGCCGAGGTGTTTAGTGTTTCAAGAGGTACTGTATCGAAGATTTATTCCGCATATTTGAAAAGCGGAAAAACATCATCTGCTAAATCACAGCTCGGACGAAAGTGTGTCCCGAGTGATCGTGACAGACGATCATTAAGGGCAATTGTGACGAAAAATAAAAAGACCACAGCTGCAAAAGTTACTGCTGAAATGAATGTTGTGTTACCGAACCCTGTGAGTACCAAAACAATTAGAAGGGAGCTTCATAAACAGGGAATTGCTGGCCGTGCTGCAATTGAGAAGCCACTCATCAGTGATGCTAATGCCCGTAACAGGAAAAGGTGGTGTTTAAGTCATAAAGCCTGGACTATAGAGCAGTGGAAGCGAGTAATATGGTCTGACGAGTCTTCTTTCACATTGTTTCCGACTTCTGGCCGAGTTTACGTCTGAAGAACGCCATCTCAAGCCTATAATACAGACTGCTTGTTGCCAAGAGTGAAACATGGCGGGGGTTCTGTTATGGTTTGGGCAGCCATATTGTGGTTCTCTGCTAGCCCCATGATAAGTGTGTCAGGGCACATGACTGCCAAGACTTATGTGAACATTTTGGCCAATCAAGTTCATCCCATGGTACAAACTTTGTTCCCCGATGGTGATGGTGTCTTCCAAGACGACAAAGCCCCTGTTCACACAGCTCACATTGTCCAAGACTGGTTTTCTGAGCACGAGGATGAGTTGTCCCATCTCCCCTGGCCACCACAGTCACCAGACCTGAATATTATCGAACCTTTGTGGTCTACATTGGAACGGAAAGTGCGTTCTCGTTATCCACCGCCAACATTGTTATCTGAACTTGCTACCATTTTGCAGGAAGAATGGTATAATATTCCCTTGGCAAACATACAGGAACTGTATTTATCTATTCCGAGAAGACTGCAAGGTGTTTTGGATGCCAACGGGTTTCCTACACCATATTAAGCAAAGAAACTTGTTTTTTTAAAGGTGTTATCCATATTTTTGTCCAACCCCTGTACATATGTAATTGGAATAATTCTTTCACATGTACCCACAGAATATGAATCTTTCATTTTTCAGAAAGTGTAACATACTGAAAAACATCTTAGAAATACATTTAGATGAAAGTGGTAGAAAACAAAGTTCATGGTTTTTGGTATAGATGTAACTATATACATGATGATCCAGAAGACATTTAACTTTCACAAAACTCATATTTTAATGAATTTACGATCTACATAAAATTCAGCAAGGATTAGATTAGATGTATCCTAAGCAGTCTGCATAGAAATATATAACAATATGCCTTTTCACAAATTTTGTATATATATAAATATAAACTTTTTAATTACAATACTAAGCAGCATTGCACCTCAAGATCTTGAATTTATGTCTCTACTTTTGAACTATCACTTTCAAAAGTCAGTAATATACTGATAAATTATGCAACAATACTATTTGTAACACAGAAAAAAATCACACACTGTCTTCTGTAACATTCATACAAAATGAAGCAGTTTCCATAGTTATGCTCAGCTTATGACTAATATGCCATCCCTTTCAGCATGAATGATCAAACAGATCAAATACCTGAAATCCTCTGAACTCCAGCTGTGTGGTTATCTGCAGTGATATATGTACAGAGATCATCTACAAGGCGTATTCAGAAACTAAGTACCGTTTTGAAAAAAAAAAAAAAAAAAAAAAAAAAGTAAAACAATTTTTTTGAATCCAATTTTATTTTTACATGAAAATACATGTCTTAAACTATTTTTCAACATAGTTTCCGCCAATGATCAAACACTTGTCATAGCGGGTAACCAGTTTTTGTATACCATCGTCAAAGAAACTTCCCGCCAGTTTCGATAACCACGACTCCACAGCATTTTTCGTGTCATCGTCAGATCCAAAGTGCTTGCCACCAAGCTCGCGCTTCATGTGCAGGAACAAGTGATAGTCGGACGGCGCCACGTCTGGGCTGTACGGCGGGTAATCGAACTGCTCCCAATGAAACTGTCGAATTAACGATTGAGTGACATCAGCAGTATGGGGCCGAGCTTTGTCATGGAGTAACACAATTCCTTTACTGAGCATTCCTCTTCGTTCGTTTTGAATCGCACGCCTTAGTTTTGTTAAAGTCTCACAATATCGTGCCGCATTAATGGTTTCATTTCTGGGAAGAAATTCAGTAAGCAAAACGCCTTTCCTATCCCAGAAGACAGTACACATGATTTTTTGTGATGACATTGTCACTTTGAACTTTTGTTTTTTTCAAGAATGTGTGTGTCTCCACTCCATCGATTGTTGTTTCGATTCTGGTGTGAAATGACACACCCAAGTTTCATCACCTGTCACAATTTGGTTTAAAACGTTTTCTCCCTCATCACTGTACTGCGTGAGAAATGTCAGGGCACTACCAAGTCGCTTTGTTTTGTGAACATCAGTGAGCATTTTTGGAACCCATCGGGAACACAGTTTGCGATAATTCAAGCGGTCAGACACAATTTCGAACAAAACAGTACGTGAAATTTGTGGAAATGCCTCTGAAAGAGTTGTCATTGTGAAGCGTCTGTTCTGATGAATTGCTTCATCAACTTGCCTTACCAAATCATCGGTGACAGCAGAAGGCCGACCACTCCGAGCCTCGGCGTGGACATTTGTTCTATCTGCATTAAACATTCTTACCCACTTTTTCACCATTCCATCACTTATCGCGTATTCACCGTAAACTTCTGTCACTTGGCGATAAATTTCGGCCGGTTTAACATTCCTCGCATTCAAAAATTTAATCACGGCACGAGCCTCACAGTCAGCGGGAGAACTAATAGTCTTAAACATTTTTAATGTGCACAGCAAACTGAAAACACAACATAGAGCAATCAAAATGGCGACAATTGAAAGTCAGTGAACATGGAAGACTAGTGCGCATGCGCGGGACGCCTACCACAGCGCTGCGACGACGCTAGAATGAAACGGTACTTAGTTTCCGAATACGCTACGTATTTCAAGCAAAGACACTAAAAGATGGCATGCATTAATGATTCCTATAAAAATGCTATTTCTACAGCCTACATCTTATCTTGACCTTAAATAATGCCCACTGCCAAATTCAGCCTTCATTATGGTTTTTTATAAATGGACGAGATTAAATTATTTAAATATTCTTCATTTATTATGAGGTAATTTTTATGGATGAGGTGCTACCTTGCAAACATAACTGTAATTAAAAAGTATGCACAATAAAAATTCCCTACTGAAACGTAGTCATTCTGCATTACTACATACTAAATTTCACCAAACTAGAAATTATTAGAGTTTTCAGTTTTGAACCTTTTTGACTTACCCTATAGAATTTGAAATAATTCATTTTTAGTGAAGTTAACATAAGCAGCAATATTTTCTCTTTAAATGAGTATGTTAATTTTTGGAGTTTCATTCTTTCCTTTTCAATGATATAAGCAACATCCATTAGTTAAAAGCAATAAAATATAATTTCAACCTAAACAACAAAATAAAAGATCTAGATATTAAGCAAAAAAAAATTAACATGCTTAAATGCACCTAGCAAATATTTTTTAGAAACTGAATTTGATTTATTAATAGCAACAGTATATTTACTTAAATAACTAATTTAAAAATACTAGTTATTATAAAATAATTAGAAATTCAGAAAAATCTGTGATTCGAACATCCCACTGGTTGTAAGGCTATTTTTTAGACTGTTTATACAGAAAAAAGAAGTAGCTAAGAATTAAAAAATATGGTAGGGCATGTAATAAATATCCACAATAAAGATCCTTATCTATCAGATGTGGAATTATAAACACAAACTTCAGATTTATTAAGATTATTGTAGCCTATACCATTAATAAATCCAGAATAGTCAACCTCTTAAGAAATCTGCATTTTACACTTTCAATGACTAAAATGTTTATATGAAACAGAAATATCAATTTATATACTTAGTCTGTGATATTTATTCCAGAATTCAATAAAATGTACCATTTCAAGAGATTATATAATTAAAAATATTAGTTTTTATTTCTATCCAGTCTGAAACAGTTTACTTTTATAACATAAAGATCTATGCAATATTTAAAACAAATTTAATAATCACAGTAAAATAATCTTACATTGGTAGAAAACGCCTGACCTTCATTGGGACAGTCAGACTCACGAAAGGCACGAAATGGCTGATAAGCCTGAGACACAGGAGTAACAGGGTGCATTTGTTCTTTTCGTTTTTTTCTGAAACGGAAACAGCATACATGAATATATATAATAAAATGATTTATTTACTATCTATGTTAATTTGGAGCCTGATTAATTATTCTTAGACTGTACAAGAATATGGGCAAAATTTATAGTTATTTTTGCAATAATTAAATGTAATTTTTGACAGATTAAAGTCAGGAATTAAAAAATAAATAAATAAAATAAAAAAAATGCAAACACAAGAACACAGCTGCGCAAGCCTGGCTTAAAAAGATTTTGTTAAAATACATCATCTATTGACAATTAAAATACCTGACTCTCCTCCCCCTAAAAAAAATCTCCACTTTCATACTTTAAATACTGTTAAGAAATTACAAAAAATCCAAAAATTTCTTCAAGAAACTTACTTATAATGAACATAAACTGCAACAGAAATAATTACTAAAATGATGATCAGAAGAGTTACTCCTCCAGCAATGCTAGCCGTTTCAATCATCACTTGTTGCCTGGATGCTAAAAACAGAATATCACATATAAATAAATAGTTAAAAAATTATTTAATTAACAAAAATAAATTATTTCATATCACTTCCAGGAATCTAGATCTGTTTTTGCAATAACTTCTGATTATACCTATATACGCATTTAAATGCAATAGTCTCACATGAGAATCAAAGTTAATTATTATTACATACTTTGGCACAAGAAACTATTTCACATTAAGCTGCTTCAAAAAGTGGGATTAAAAAAATTAACAGCTGGTTCACTAACAAAATAAATGATAAAATTAGCTACTTATTGACTATAAATTGCATACATTATTATTACAATTTAATTTAAACAACTATTTCACTGAACTTTAGAAAGAAACAATGGGAAGTGGTCGAATCCCATCAATACTTGCATGGGCAAACAAAGATTAATTTATTTTTAAAGTAATTTATAGAAATTAGTCATTATTAGTAATTTCTAGGAAATTAAACTATCTATTAAACTATTAGTTAAATTGGAAAATTAAACTATCTTCATTTTTTGCAAAAGGTAAATGAAAATCAGGCTCATTTCCTTAATTTAATAATTACAGTACAAAGTCCATAATCCTGACTTATCAGGACTTCGGCTATTCCGGATTATAGATGATCAATTTAAATCTGGTAAGATGGCATGCAGAAATTATACAATTAAAAATATGAAACCGTAATTTATGAAATAAAGAGAATTATGATCTAAAAGGTATCAAAATTAAAAAAAAAAAAAAAAAAAAAAAAAAGTTTACTATTTATTTGTTTACTTTATTAAACATTTCTTTCAATGCAAGTTGTTTAAGTTGCTTCGTTTTTTCTGCTAAATGCGCATGCGTAAAGCATACAAAAAAAAGTTTGTGGCTTTGATGTCCGGATTATAGACCATTCCGGATAATGGATGTCCGGATTATAGACTTTGTACTGTATTATTATTAAAAAAACATATCAATAAAATGAGCTTGTATACATTTTAATAATACAAATAAATCACATACCTAAATAAGATCCATCCAAGTCTTTAAATTCACATCTTTGGCCCACAAACCCGTTTGCACACCTAATACAAATAAATAAATACGTTTAATTTTAATCAAGTTAAATAATTATCTACTAGACAAATTGAATACATTTAAAACATAAGATTATTCATATTATAAAAGTTAAAAACTTAGTATTTTAAGAAGTGTTTTCAATAAAATATTTCTAAGCGTTCATATGTAGCAGTTTCTGAATCACATACATTTCTGATTTTATATAAAAATTAACAAGATAATTTAGAATTGGTTTAGTTCACAATTACGGTAAAGCACAAAAATGCTATCTATTTTTAGAAGGATTATATTTTAGAGAATTTTCCGAGAAAATCTGACTTTAAAAATGAGCAGCCTAAGCAACCAGCACATTTTTCACTCAGAAAAGAATTTACTGAAAAAGCAGTTACCATTACATTATTGGTTCTTCAAGCCTTACACTATAGTTTTTACTTGTAACTGATAGGTGCTCTAAGACCGTTGGCAATTCTTAAGACATAAATAAAATATGTGGCAAAGTACAAACAGTTGACGAGAAAGGAAACTTTGAGCCTAATAGATGAGCATTTATAGCAAGTTCTGTTGTTTGAGCTAGTTAAAAAATCACAAGCAGGTGGCATTCTCTGTGTCCTGAAAGTTCGAACATTTGAGTGTTGTTGAGGTTGGAGTTAGAACAAAATGGAGGACCACTGTGTAGCACACCTCCAATGAAAAAGTTAACAGAATCTTCGGATGAAAGCATATGTGTGGGTTCATAATTTCTCATGAATGGCAATGATCTTTTGTTTACATGAGATGAAAGCTTAATGTAGTTTTCCTTGCCGACTTTTACAGGTAAGTCGGCAATAATCGCCAATGAAAATGCACTCTCAGATGTGAAGTAAGGATTAACAAAGCAAAGTACATGATACAGAAATATAAAATAAATTTATTAAGTAAATGTATATATTAAAAATCAAAATGTGTGATAGTAACATTGCATGAAAATACTTACTCGCAATTGTACAGAATAGATTCTCCTATTTTCACAGAGAAACAGGTAGCTCCATTGAGGCAGTACCACTTGGCATATGCCTCAGGGCAGGCATAAGTCTGGAATGTGATGTTCGGCCTTACTGTAGGTTGAGGAGGAGGTCTTGGCCTAGGGGTGGAACGTGATGAACAGGCACCTATGTGAGAGAAAATCATTTGAATTTTACATATAATATTTCAGTACCTCAACATTTCAAAATATATTAATCCCAATTTATACCTTCAGCTTTTGAATACACAGAAAAATAAACTTGAAGATACGTTCAGTATTAAATTGCACATGTGGAAGATATTACCGCAAGCAAATAAATGTGCAGATTTTATAGCTGGAAAAGACTGGTACTTTTCTGTTATTGGGACCGAACTCAGGAATGTACACACGTATGCATGTACGTACGTACGTGTGTGTGTGCGTATACTTACTTACACGCATACTTATTGTGCATACATAAATAAATTTCTAAATCCTATTCCGATAACAGAAAAGTATCCAAAGCAGTTCAGAATGTTAGAAAGAGGGGTGGTTATTTATACTGATCTTCAGAAAGGTTTTATTTTTTAAATAAGAGCTGCATAACAATAATAAATTAATAAGCACATATTTTAAGAGTACATCAAAACACATACTGCGATTAACATATAAACTCAAATATTTCTAAGTGAAATCCTTTTAGTTTAAATTACTTATAAGTATTATGGCAAATATAAATATTTCCTGTTTAAATGAGCATGAAAAATGCAGTGCCTTCCAGTAATTGATAAAATACAGAATCCATTTCTATAACTTTATCAGAAGTCAGAGAAATGCTAAAAAAAAATTACTTCTAAAAAGAAAATTTCTAAAAAGTATACTGAAAATTTCACATATAAGGACTACACTAGTTAAAAGTCTCCCTTACGGGCTGCCGCGAAAATAAACATCTGTCTTCACTCGGCAAGAAACAATCTGCAAATAAATCCACAAAGAAATGGGCAATTATCACGGTAATAATGGCACACGATTACGTTTATTCACGATCTTCCGTATTAGGTGGGCGCAAAACAAGAGTGATGACGGGCGATCCATTAATAACAAAGGCAAATAAAGTGCCCTGACCTTAATGTTGCTTAATTTAACGAAACAAGCAGCTCCATGAAATAAAGGGGAGAGGATAAGATGTTCTGGAAACTAATCGCTCGTTAGAACGCAGGTGAATTTAAGTTACCCACTTTCAAGTTATATTTTCAATTGAAAGATGACTAATTTGACTCCGGCTTACGGTAGATCGCGGTTAATATAATCATTCGGATACTGTAATCGAATTGCAGAAGTTCCGCCCGTTCATGTACGAAAACATGGAAAATACGTCGCTTACTGTAAACAGCATTCGGTTAATATTATGAAAGTATAAAAGAATAAATTATTTTTTAAAACTGAAATAAAGTCGCAAAATAAAAGATAGTCATCAAATAAGTTCAAAACAGTTTATAAAAACTATCAAGGTGACATAAATATCTCCAAGTAGGAGATAAATCGCCAAACAGTTTGGTTTCGATTTTAGTCCTCCATTTAAAATTAGGCAAAAAAGCAACCTTATTTGGCGTAGGTCGAACTCTGAAGGTGATAAGATATACGTCCCTCTTCTTCAGGAGCCAAAATAATTCTGGAAAATTTCACCCCCTCTTGTTCCTGGGAGGAGATTCCCTGAAAGTATTTAATTGCCAAACTAGGGTTGTTTTTTGTCTAATCTAAAAATTTTTATTGGCATGTTTTATTCCAATGAATGAGAGATGCTCTCCTTGTATTAAGATTAATAGCACAGTGTCGGTCAAATTAGTCAAATTCTATTGCTGTTTTGAAAGATACTTTTTCATAGACATTTCAAAATTCATAGCTGCATTCGTGGTACACTTTCTCAGATACCTCTGGGAAAGTGGATTTTAATTCCAAAGGTTGATGGCTTATAACTCCAAAAGCCACATATTACGGTTCGAAAGCCTGCACATCGCAAAACTTCGAATCGATTCATAATTTGTTGTTTATGGGACATAATAACAAGCATCCAAGTAACATTTCATTATTAGATAAGGTTTATTGGAAGCTTCAACCGTCATGATTAAAAGAAATGTGATGCACTTTCATCAGCTAATTACTTGATTATAACTGATGCAGACCTGCTTATTTTACAAAATTCAACAAAAGTACCAATTCACTTAGTTAGATGGTCATAATCAATTCGTATCTAATTATATGCATACATTAGACTGAAACGTTCTGCAAGTGAATGAAGAACAGCATGGAAATTAAAAGGCAAAAACTGATTCTTGGATAATGAAAGGGAGGGAGACATAATATGGAATAAAAGCGATTATAAAAAAATGACGATGTTCTGAAATTTGCGCAAATGCTGCTATTTTCTCATAACAGCTACAAACATTATTAAATGCGTTATCTTTACTTTCTCTGAACTTCCATTTGCAAAAGCTGATTCGCTGAATTACAATAAAAATTAAACTCCGGTATGACCTTCAAAATAAAAATTCGCACACATGTGTTGATATTCACACCACGGACTCACTCGTATGCTGCCACTTTCTGCCTAAAAAACATGGATTAGCGGCGTGGCTCGATTCTAGCAAAATCAAGTGACCATTTCTTGAGCACAATGCTTACGGATGCCATTCCTGTCACAAACCGCCGCTAAACCTGTAGCGCCACCTGTCCATGCTCTGATGCACACTGGCAGGTTTTTTTTTTTTGCCCTCTATTCGCCTACTAAGGCCAATATTTAATGAAATAAATTCCAGTGAATTGCATATATTCTAATAGATCACGAAAGTTTTTTTAATAAGAAAACAGATTGCATCATTACTATTAAAAAGCTATTTTATTAAAAAAAAAAAAAAAAAACAAAGAATGAACACCTGGGGTTATTAAATATAGCAGAGATTGTGCTAATTATGGAGGATTTCCAAGTGGATAACCACGGATACACTTTGTTGGGCATCATTGCTAGCTAGTGCGTGCGTCCCAACGATTAAACCTTTTTAAAAGCTTTCTCGTTCTTCCCACCCCAACATTCTTCAACAATATCTGTCGAAAAGAATGCAACGCATCTGTCGCTACAATCCAATCAAAATTTTCAAGCTTTATTGGTAGATTTACTGGTAGCCATCCAAAGAACAAAAACCATTGTTTGTCAATGGATATCAATGGCCAAACATGCAAAAAATTAAAATCCACTAAATTGTATAATGTCGCAATGTGTTGAATTTTATGTATTAATATAACTATATTAGTTATCCAAATGTATTTTCGCAAACTCATCACAAAATGTTTTTTTTTTTTTTTTTTTTTTTTTTTTTTTCCCCCCTGAGAATGAGTCAGAGAAGACAACATAAAATAAAATCTCTAAAATCGACGGAGACCGCAATCACTAAAATCACAAAAATGCTAATCGCTCTGGCAGATTTCAGTTAAACTAATTTTTAGCAGCGCAATATGTTTTACAGAAATCCTACAAAATGAAAAATTCTCAGCTTCAAATAAAATGAAAGGAAACCTAGCAGAAGAACTATATCGAAAGTTTTAAAAAGTTTAGTTTAAACTACACTTTTGAAATCACGAAATTTTAATTCATTTACGAGAAAGAATTTCTGTAAAAGAATGAAAATAATGGTTGCATGGTTTGTAAAAAGCAATTAAAAAACTATCCAATTATTATGAGATCTTAAAAAAATTCCGCTGTATTCATCATATTAAGTAAAAAGGGGGAAAAATTGAAGAAACATTTACAAAAAATTGCAAAAAGAAACCTAAAAACTTAGGCTTTTGACGTAAGTTGCTAAACGGATTAAGTTCGCGGTCAGATTTACAAGCAGATTTTGTAATGTTGGCGTAATAATTTGTTTATGAACGAGATAATACGATTATACACAAGAAAAGCAATACATTCGTTTTCCGCCTACAATTCAGTGATGAAATAAATTTTCACGTGTTAAATGGCGTAACCGTGGTTATGATCAAAAATATCAAATTCAGAGGTTCATATTGAAGAAATTCAATTGTAAGCAATTTGACACTGATGTGAAGTCACGATTAGAATATGCAGTTCATTCATTGGAAGTGAAACATTTGACTTTTTTCTGGAAATTCATTTTATTTAACATACACTTTTGAGGAAGTGATTACATTAAAAATAACAGAGCATTTCGTGGCGGAGGGACAGAAACGGGATGAATTACTTATGGTTTTAACTACCGATGGCTTTCGAGCTGAATAAAAAAATATAATCTACCTAAAATTCCAAAAACACAAAACACTAAAATAGGAGTGTCTATTTTACTAACTCTATTTAGATTACCTTGTTTAAAATTTCTTATTATTTAAACAATGTCAATTCTAAAATTTTAGCAGCATAACAATCCGAAATGAAATAAAGATAAAACATAAAAAATTACAAGAAAAAAACAAAACAAAAAAATATGAAAAGTTTCAGATTTTAAATTACGTCCAAAGGGGCGTTTTTTTCCCCTCCCCTTTAAAAAAAAAGTTTTGTGTGTTACCTTTATTTATTAAATATCATATTCTACGTACTCAAACGATAAAATTCAGTTCAACAGCTATATCGCAAAATAATTTTAAAATGAGTCTATCTTTAGAATTTTCGATACACAGTTCCGCGCCCGCTGGAGATAAAAAGGTTTTTTCCCCGCCGTACAGTGTTGCCATTTGTCGCTTTGAAATCGTTTAGTTTTTTAATCAAAAATTCGTTGAATAAGAAGTCGATAATAAAACAAATTTCAATTTCAAATTAGGGCTTCCACATGCCCGTATTCTATAGAAGATTACGTTATTTAAATTTTGATGGCTCTAGGTACCGTTGTTTTATCACAGTGCAAGAAATATACATACATTCATGCAGATTCTTCATTCATTAATGTCTTTAAATCTAATACAGGGCGATAATATTTAGTGGCAACAATTTGAAAAGTGATTCATCGTTTATAGTTAGTTTTCAATGCAAAATGCCAAAACGAAATTAATAGTCCTTCAGGGCAAATTTCCCCTTTGGACTAATAAACGACATTAAACATGAAATTAAATTAGTATAAGGCATTCCCAATTAAATTTATTCACAGAACATTTTAATATTTT